TTTTTTTTATTTCTCTTGTTCATTTGATAACCAACTCAAGCAAATAACATCCTACTTTGTTATTGATAAAGTCTGCTAATTTTAAAGGAGGAATTGGCTATGTCTTCTTTACCATTAAATAAAAATTTAGCACACTATTAATAATTTTTTCTTTCTTATAAAAGGTAAATACAGATTTACAATCACTGGTAAAATGAAGAAATTTCTTAAAGGGGTTTTTGAAAAAGAGTGTGTATTAAATCTTAAAAATGTAAAAATTTTTTTTTTTTATGTTTATACTTTATATTTGTTATCTGACTTCTTATTATTGGATTGTATTTGTTCCTTATTATGATTGCCAAGGTACACTACTCAAATACATTTGTTAGAAGAAGATGAAGATACAAAATACATAAGTTTGGTAAGGAATAAGGCAATAAAAAGAAATATTACATTTAAAATCTTTTTCAAAATTCATAGCTGTATTTTTTTAGTATAACTGTCTAAAATATTAATAATATTTAAATATGATTTTTTATTGATTAAATACATTTATTTTATAAATTCAATTTTATGAGAGTTTGGATTCAATTTTTCCTAGACTTTTTCTGCATTATAAAGATTAATTTTTTTTTTTGTGACAAATTTTTTATTTAAAAATATATATAAAATTTTCCATATAATGCAAATGCATTTGTAACTAATAAGTTTCAAAAAAATATACACATGTATAGTTTTAATTTTTTTACTAGTTAATGAATGATCATTCCAATGAAACATGTACAGTAAATATGACCATAATGGAGATTTATTTATTTATTTTATGTCGACCATAATGGAGATATGATACAAGAAGAATATTAGAAATAATTTATTACTATTTATTTAATAAGCAATTTCTTATTCACATTTAAGATATACTAATAATAGCTAACTACCAAAGAAATAATTTTATATTGGACGAATATTTCATAATAATTTCAGTCAAGCCAGCCTTATTGTAATATTTGTAATCAAAAATTCTAATACTTTCCAGATATTTGCAACTAATAAGAATCGTTTCTAATATTTCTAATTCATTATCTTCAATTCTAATAAAAAGATTTCTAAGGTTTGGACAGAACTTGATTATCGCTAAATTTAATGAATTATCATTACTTTTAACATAAAATTCTTTTAGATTTTTTCCATTATTTTCCAAAAATTTTATCAATAATTCATTTTCTGGACATTCCACATTAAATTTTAAACTTCGTAACTGCGGAAAAACAACATATTGTAATTTATTAAAACCTTCATAAGATTCGTTACTGGAAAATATGAATACAAGTTCTTGTAAATTTGTGAATCTAGCAATAAATGATAATGGTATTACAGCCTTGAAAAAACAT